GAATCTAACCATGTATTTAGATTTTTTATTTGTAGGCCCCGCTATCAAATTGGTTCATATTGAGGTTAAAAGGGTCCAAAATTAAACTTTGTTTGATTTCATCAGAAATTGAATTATTGGGGTTCTTTACTATGCCAAATCTAACCGTGTATTTAGATTTTTAATTTGGGTCCCGTTTTTTAAATTGGTCTTCATTGAGGTCCAAAGGGTCCAAAATTAAACTTAGTTTGATTTTAACAAAAATTGAATTCTTGGGGTTCTTTGATATGCTGAATCTAAACATGTGTTTAGATTTTTTATTATGGGCCCAGTTTTCAAGTTGTGAATATATGGGGTTCTTTGATATGCTGAATCTAACCATGTATTTTGATTTTGGACATTGGACCATAATAGGTAAATTAAAAAAAATTCAAGTTCTTAGACCACATTCTTTCTGTGTCAGAAACCTATGCTGTGTCAAATATTTAATAACAATCCAAATTCAGAGCTGTATCAAGCTTGAATGTTGTGTCCATACTTGCCCAAACTGTTCAGGATTCGACCTCTGCGGTCGTATCAAGCTGTGCCCCAGCGAAGCATTTTATTATTATTATTATTTTTCTACCACCTAATTTTGTCCGCCCGTTTTCTCAGAGCCAAAGGAACCAATCTAAATGATGGTTCACTATAACAAGGAACCCTGACTTCCGAGTTGCAGTGCAACTTTGGAACTAAAAAATGGCTGCCATCACCATGGAAACTGACAAAAAGTGAAAAAGTAAATTTTTTGAGTTTGGTTAATGATTTGAGAATGCTTAAACTTAAAATCATTAAATTTTAATACAATGTAGTTGTCCACTATATACAGGTTTTGGCTGATTTTGACAATCATTGGAACTACTATGTTGCCATGGAAACTACACCAAAAATTTCAAAAATATCAAAATGCTCCAAATTTTATGAAACTTCACAGTAACGATGAGCAACATTTGTAGATGTTGAATTTGGCATTGGAATTTCCAAAATGGCTGCCGTTACTATGGAAACAATGCAAAAAAGGTCAGAATGCTTCAAAAACCTTAAAGTAGCATTTACTTTCTTAAAATGGTAGGTCAAATCCATTGAAACTTTGATGGTATGTTCCCTCCCATGTACCAATGTGGCATCTGTCATTAAATTTTGGGAATGGTCTCTGTTACCATAGGAACCAGCAAAAATGTCAAAAATTTCAAAAATTTTAAAATGCTCCAAACTTTATGAAACTTATTATAATTGTTACCTGGCAAGGTAAGATGAGACTTTTGACTTTGGAGTTACCAAAATGGTCACATATATGCATGGCAATACATCTTTCTGTAAATTTTCAGAATATTTGGAGCATTTTGAAATTTTCACATTTTTGTTGTTTCCATGACAATGTTGACCATTTTGGTAATTCCAAAGTCAAAAGTCTCATCTTACCTTGCCAGGTAACAATTATAATAAGTTTCATAAAGTTTGGAGCATTTTAAAATTTTTGAAATTTTTGACATTTTTATACGACCGCAAAAAAATTTTTGTGGTCGTATATTGGTATGACGTTGGCGTCGTCGTCGTCGTCCGAAGACACATAGGTTTTCGCACTCTAACTTTAGTTTAAGTGAATGGATCTCTATGAAATTTTACCACAAGGTTCAATACCACAAAAGGAAGGTTGGGATTGATTTTGGGGGTTATGGTACCAACAGTAAAGGAATTAGGGGCCAAAAAGGGGCCAAAAATAAGCATTTTTGTAACTTCCAGACATAACTTGTGTGTTAGTGTATGGATATCTCTGACATTGTACCACAAGGTTCCATATCACAAATGGAATGCTGGGATTGATTTTGGGGGTAATTGTCTCAAAATTTTAGGAATTATGGGCCAAAAAAGGGGCAAAAAACAAGCATTTTTCTAGTTTCATGACAATAACTTGTGTGTAAGTGTATGGATGTTTCTGAAATTGTACTACAAGGTTCCATATCACAAAGGGAAAGCTGGAATTGAGTTTGGGGGTAATTGCCAAAACGTTCAGGAATTGGGGGCCAAAAAAGGGGCCAAAAATAAGCATTTTTCTAGTTTCCAGACAATAACTTGTGTTCAAGTGTATGGATCTCTCTGAAATTGTACTGCAAGGTACCATACCACAAAGGGAAGGCTGGGATTGATGATGGGGGTAATTGCCTCAATATTTTAGGAATTAGGGGCCAAAAAGGGGCAAAAAACAAACATTTTTCTAGTTTCAGGACAATAACTTGTGTGTGAGTGTATGGATGTTTCTGAAATTGTACTACAAGGTTCCATATCACAAAGGGAAAGCTGGAATTGAGTTTGGGGGTAATTGCCGAAACGTTCAGGAATTGGGGGCCAAAAAAGGGGCCAAAAATAAGCATTTTTCTAGTTTCCAGACAATAACTTGTGTTCAAGTGTATGGATCTCTCTGAAATTGTACTGCAAGGTACCATACCACAAAGGGAAGGCTGGGATTGATGATGGGGGTAATTGCCTCAATATTTTAGGAATTAGGGGCCAAAAAGGGGCCAATAAACACATTTTTCTAGTTTCCAGACAATAACTTGTGTTCAAGTGTATGGATCTCTCTGAAAGTGTACTGCAAGGTACCATACCACAAAGGGAAGGCTGGGATTGAGTTTTGGGGTGATGAATCATAAGGGGGTTCAAAAAATTTGGGGCGGGGAATTTTTTTTATTTCCTTTTTTTTCTTTTTTTCCTTTTTTTTTCTTTTAAAATTTTCCATTTTAAGTTGGTTATTTCTGATTTATATTTTAAAGCAAATGATAATGATATGGTAGGAGATACACACCAAACAGGATGTGTAAATTATTATATAATAAGTATTGTGCAATAGCAAGAAATTTTCAATTGCACAGTATTGCACAATAGCAAGAAATCTTCAATTGCACAGTATTGCTCAATAGCAAGAAATCTTCAATTGCACAGTATTGCGCAATAGCAAGAAATATCCAATAGCACAATATTGCGCAATAGCAAGAAATTGTCAATTGTACAGTATTGGGCAATAGCAAGAAATATTTAATTGCACAGTATTGTGCAAAAGAAGATACTTCGTATAAATTGCTTATTTCTTGACCAATTTCAATGGGGTTTTATTCTTGAATTCTTGGGGTTCTTTAATATGCTGAATCTAACCGTGTATTTAGTTTTTGGATTTTGGGCCCCGTTTTTAAATTGGTCCACATTGAGGTCCAAAGGGTCCAAAATTAAACTTTGTTTGATTTCATCAAAAATTGAATTATTGGGGTTCTTTGATATGCCGAATCTAACCGTGTATTTAGATTCTTAATTTTTGGTTCCGTTTTCAAATTGGTCTACATTAAGGTCCAAAGGGTCCAAAATTAAACTTAGTTTGATTTTAACAAAAATTGAATTCTTAGGGTTCTTTTATATGCTGAATCTAAACATGTATTTAGATTTTTGATTATGGGCCCAGTTTTCAAGTTGGTCCAAATCGGGGTCCAAAATTAAACTTTGTTTGATTTCAACAAAAAATTGAATATATAGGGGTTCTTTGATATGCTGAATCTAACCATGTATTTAGATTTTTGATTTTTGGGCCCTGTTATCAACTTTGTCCACATTGAGGTCAAAAGGGTCCAAAATTAAACTTTGTTTGATTTCATCAAAAACTGAATTCTTGGGGTTCTTTGATATGCTGAATCTAACCATGTATTTAGATTTTGGATATTGGACCATAATAGGTGAATGTCCAATTTAAAATTTTTAAGTTCTTAGACCACATTCATTCTGTGTCAGAAACCTATGCTGTGTCAAATATTTAATCACAATCCAAATGCAAAGCTGTATCAAGCTTGAATGTTGTGTCCATACTTGCCCCAACTGTTCAGGGTTCGACCTCTGCGGTCGTATCAAGCTGCGCCCTGCGGAGCATTTTATTGCTGGTTCCTATGGTAACAGAGACCATTCCCAAAATTTAATGACAGATGTATGTGCATACGATCAAATACAAATCTGTACTGCAAAACATCTTCTAGAATATGCTAGAAGAGAAAAAAATATATAATTTAACGTGCTTCTATTCTATACAAAAATCGTGCTTTCATACCACATCTTCCTTTATCTATTTGAAGAGAAAATCGCCACCGAGAGAGAGAGAAACACTAAGAGTACATATTAGTGACATTTCTGTACTTGCATTAAAGTACACATCCGTGAATCACACACCTGCTAAAATATACACATTAGCTGAAATCAATCGATGAAAGTGTAATTTAATTGTACAAGATAAGACACATGTATCGTGTGATACGCGAGCTATTAAAGAACAAAAATGAACAGTTAGTATGCCGCTCCGTCAATATATACACATGTTGTCAGTCCAAGGTCCCCTCTAAAAAGAATATAAATGAATACTTGCGCATCACGTGACTCCATGTTCTTCCTCGGCGTGGGTCTTTTTTTTATTCTAAAGAATTCCCAAACTATGAATAGAACTCAAACTTATTCTACGTGAAGAGAAAAAGAGGGGGGGGGGGGGGGAATCAAAGACATGCCAATTCCAGCATGTATAATAGATGTGCCATTTCCCTACTGAAAATGTAAAGTGGGATTTCACTGAAAATACCAGTGGAGTTTCATCAGAGTTCCATTGGAATACCACTGTATTACCACTGGGAAATTTGGTCGGGATTTTCATTGGACATTCATTGTTTTCCATTGGGATATCAGTGGAATATCCAGTGGGATTCCGGTGAATACTCGAGTGGAATACAGTGGAAATTCCATTGGAATACCAGTGAAAACTTCGTTGGAATACCATTGTTTTCCCACTGGACATTTATTGTTTTCTACTGGGATACCAGTGGTAATTCCATTGGAAATTGTAACAATCAACCAAAGAAAACCAGTGATATTTCAATGGAAATTGACAATTCCACTGAAATGTTAGATATCATTTTGCATGCACTGCTTATTTTTGAATGAATTAATAAGAAAACTTGAAATAAGACAATAACCATTTTAATGCAAGTCAACAATTAAAGAAATTACAACAGTTTATACATCATCCACATTTAAGACCTTTTAAACGAAAAGATCAACCTCTTTAAAATATTAACGTTGATAAATTATCATTTTTTAGTCAAAGATGTATTTACTTAATTGTACATGTAAATCATTTTTCTGGTTAAATCATTCATAAGTCCATGGTAACTTTTGGTCCTCTTGAAATCTTTCACAAATGGTTTTAATTTTCAATTTTACAAATTTGTTTATTGTGCATTAACCAAACAAAAATGTCCAGTTTACATGCATACGAAATACTTTGTCAGTTTGGTCAGTTTTCTTCATCATCCATTGATATTATTCATGAATTAAGTCCAAAGTTTCTGCATTCCAATCCTGTTCCATTAAGTCTTCATTGATTAATCTGAAAGAAAAAAAATCATACATCATAACATGCATAGAATTTTGAATTAAAATAACATTACAATACCATGCTCCAGTCTGCAATTATTCAAAAATATATGTTACTGGCATATATATTTTATTTGTGTTTGTGTGTAATTTATTCACAACATTTATACACTAAGAGCAATTTAGACACATGTATGTCTATTGTTGAAGACTATGTGTTCTCTAGATATCTTTGGCTATAGTTGTTGGGTTGCTGTCTCTTAGACTTATAACACACATCTCTTTTTATCAAAATAGACTTCTATTGTTCATGGATCAGGTGTCTCTCAAAGCCAAATAAAATAGTATGTGTGGTTCCAGTTACATTTAAAAAAAATTAGGGTAGGTAGGTAAGAATTTTTTTTATTTTATGGTTTTTTTTTACATTGAGTCTATCATGTCTGCAATTATTCAAAAATATATGTTACTGGCATATATATTTTATTTGTGTTTGTGTGTAATTTATTCACAACATTTATACACTAAGAGCAATTTAGACACATGTATGTCTATTGTTGAAGACTATGTGTTCTCTAGATATCTTTGGCTATAGTTGTTGGGTTGCTGTCTCTTAGACTTATAACACACATCTCTTTTTATCAAAATAGACTTTTATTGTTCATGGATCAGGTGTCTCTCAAAGCCAAATAAAATAGTATGTGTGGTTCCAGTTATATTTAAAAAAAAATTAGGGTAGTTAGAATTTTTTTTATTTTATGGTTTTTTTTTACATTGAGTCTATCATGTCTATGGGAGCAACATTTTGACTTAAACAGTACTTACTGAAAAATGACAAAAAAATCTTTAGGGTAGGCTATTGTTAAGACTAAACAAAAAGGTAGGTAAGGTAATTGGAACCACGCATATATTTTTATTGAGCCTCATATTATCTTTCCCTTTGTGTTGTGTTTGTTGTTGGTTTACTATCTGGTTGAAGCATACCAGACACCTCATTTTGTTCACATAATAGCCATGATTAACCATTGTGCATGATGATCAGATCAATGTTTTTGAGATGTGTTTACAGCTTATAGATGTGAATGATTAACATGATTAATGTATTTTTATTTCAAGTGTGGGAAGGATGAAAAAATAATTCAATAAGTACCTTTCAATAATCTTATACTCAAATTTCTTTTCTGCTGCTGGTTCGTTTGTTTTCATCGTGTTTTCATATTATTGAGTGGATATTGATCGATGCACAGTCATCATTTTTGCAGCTTTGTACCTTCACCATGATCAATCCCTTTTAATATATGGACAACCTAAAAAAAATGTAAAAACATTTTATTAATCATTTTTAATTCTGGTCATGACCTGTATGCATCATATATTACTGATATTTATCATACAATGTACATATATAATTAAGAAGCTTCTTTCAGTTAAGTATAAAGACTCTAAAACACAATATTAACCTTTAGGGATTTTTTGTGTTGCATGTCCATCCAAATCAGAACATGACAAAATTAAGTTGAATGTGCCTGAGATTGTGTAGTAAACTGTAAACATCTTTCCTTGATTGTGAAGGCACACAATGTAATTTAATATTGAATAATAAAATTATTATTACATTCCCACCTCCCCCTTTTCAGAACACCAAATGGTCATCCTCAAAGTGTGAACTAACAGAGCCCATGAATAAAACTAAAGGGGGTATATATCTTTTCTTTTTAATTTTAATTAAAAATATTCATGATGTAAAAATCAAATGTAAAATCTCTTAAAAATTACCTGTATCTGCTGTACGTCTGCCCTACATCAGCACATCGTCTCATCGTAAATTCTTGGTTCAACAGCTAATGTCATACCTAAATGTTCTGCCTTTAATGTCTATTTCTTTATTTATCGAAGGTTGTTGAGTATTAATTATTATTAACATGATTAATGTAACCACAGCTGGACAATGCTGGACAGGATACATACTCGTACAATATTTTTAGTTTCAAATTTGAACACATTCCGTGTATTAATGATAACGACTATCTGATTGGCCGATCGGAAATCCCGGATATAGAGTTATCCAATCAAATCAGCGGTTATATATATAGTCTGGTAGAAAAAAATGGCAGTCTCCATGAATGTAAACATGTGTGTTGAAAAACAACATTATAGACTACAGTTTCACGAATTTTCTGCTCAAATTATGCCAAAAACACTGACATTTAGCGTACAATTGATTGGAGCGGATTATATGTGAAATGTTTCTATAGATTAACTTATATGACCCGAGTTCCAGTGCCGAGTTCAGGACATGAAAATGATGAAAAATTCATCACACGGACAAAGTTAAGATACCGAAACAGTTTATAGAACAATGTGGAAAATGAAAGCCGTTCACTTTACTTTTCTCAAAAGAACAGTAGACCAGTAACAGTTAATGAACATGATGAAGTCAAAGGAGAAATAATTATATTATTGTATACATGTAGACTGTAGTGCAGGGCAGTTGCCAGTACGGTCACTTGAAGAAAAAAACGGAGTTATCCTAACAATTCGTACAGTCTGAAGATAATTTCTGCAACAGATCTGTTTAAAACGGCCCTTTTAAGAGCCATGCACATTTTTCAAAAAGAATCTTAATTGTTTTTGTTCGTTAAATCAACCAGAATCTTATTCTCAACCCAATTTGATATAAAATATTCATTTCTTTATTTATATTATCTGATTATTGCACATTTAATTTTATTTCTTAATAGTTAAAATGTATCCTTTCAATGTGTCATACTCATAGGCTATATGGTGATGCATTATATTCACCCTACATCTGAGGAGCTACCATTTTACTTATTTTATATGGGTGTGGGGGGGGGGGGGGGTCTTTCAGACCAAATGATTATTTTCATTTGTTACTAGGCAAGTGATTTCATATTACATTTAACCATGTAACATTTTTTGAACAAATGTTTCATATACATGTATATATGTAGGTTTATGAAATATTCATAATACATCCCTTATATTATCATGATTATAATATTTAATTTCTTATCAGGCCAGCAAATTATATGCTACAAATTAAATCCTTTATATAATAATCATGCACTTAATTATTTGAAAAATTTAAATTAGAAGTATATATTCCTTTAAATTTCTAAGTCCAAAATTCCACTGGAATATTTGCATTAAATCAAAACTCCACTGAAATATAAACAATAATATTCCACTGGAAATTAATTGGAAAATCTTTGGAAGTTTCATTGGAAATTTCACTGATTTTCCATTGGAATTACAGTGTGAAAAATATTCCAGATGTTTTGGATGAAATTCTAATGGGATTCCATCGGAATATTTTTTTCCACTGAATACCAGTGTAATTTCACTGGAAATCCAGTGGAATCCCGTACTCATTTTCAGTAGGGTTGACTTTGGTCACTCAAAGTAGTTGCTGCTACTGTGACAATGTCCAATAGAGGGTGACATCATAGCAAATCTAGTTTAATATTCTTATTCTTCTTTTTCTAAACCCTTAAACTGTCCTACCATTTTCTTGGAAGCTATAGAGGATGGAAACATTATATTTTTTCTGGGTATGGGTCTGTATCATGGGGGTTGCAGAACCCAATGTTCATGATACCAGGGTGTCATCTTGGCATAATAAGGGGGGCTCACAGATGTGGAATAATAATAATAATAAAGAAACGGAGGAAAAGCAATATGTCACCCGACATTGTCGATCGGGTGACATAACTAGATTTGCAATTGCTAGCAATAACGGATGGCACCCTTCCCCAATTGCCAGGGTAACGGCAGCCATTGTGAAAATTCTAAACTCAAAGAGTGCATCTACACATGTCAATTAACATTTTTGTAAAGTTGATAAAATTTGAAGCATTTTGAAAATTTTGACATTTTTGCTGTTTCCATGGTAACGGCAGCCATTTTGAAAATTCCAAAGTCAAACTGCAAATCAGCACATGCCAGTTAACATTCCTGTGGAGTTTCTCCCAGTTTGGAACACTTTGATTTTTTTCGCATTTTTGCTGTTTCCTTGGAAACGGCGGCCATTTTTTTACCATTCCATAGCAAGGTGCACAACTTTACATGGGGGTCCTCATTATAGTAGAGTTCCATCAACATTGGTCCATTGGATTCCGAGAACTCGCGCGGACAAAATGTGTGGAAGAAAAATAATAAAAACTAGATTTGCCATTGAAAGCAATAGCTTATGGCACCCTTCCCACATTGCCAGGTGAGCGGCAGCCATTTTGAAAATTCCAAAGTCAAAGACCGCATCTACAGATGTCTATTAACATTGTAAAGTTTCTTCAATTTTGGAGCATTTTGAATTTTTTTTAATTTTTGCTATTTCCATGGTAACGGGTACCATTTCAAAAATTCCAAAGACAGGTGCCACTTTGGAACATGCCATGTTACATATCCATTAAGTTGTAGAAGGTTTGATCTAATATTCTTGCAGGAAATGCAGCTTCAATGTGTTTTTCCATAGGGCTAATGTTAAACTTTTTGTAATTTTGGAATTTCCTAATATTTTCACAACATCAAGGCATACCAAGGAACATTACCATAAAGTTTCATCCAGCTAGGTCTTATAATGAAAGATTTAGAATTTGCATTTTTTTTTCACATTTTATCAGTTTCCATGGCAACAGCAGCCATCTTGATGATGCCATACCCCGATTGCACAATTTCATATAGTGGTCTACATTATGGTAAAGTTCCATCAATATTGTTCAAGCCACTTCTGAGAAATAGCATGGACAAAAAAGTGTGAAATGGTACCCGTTACCATGGAAATAGCAAAAATTAAAAAAAATTCAAAATGCTCTAAAATTGAAGAAACTTTACAATGTTAATAGACATCTGTAGATGCGGTCTTTGACTTTGGAATTTTCAAAATGGCTGCCGCTCACCTGGCAATGGGGGAAGGGTGCCATCCGCTATTGCTTGCAATGGCAAATCTAGTTTTTATTATTTTTCTTCCACACATTTTGTCCGCGCGAGTTCTCGGAATCCAATGGACCAATGTTGATGGAACTCTACTATAATGAGGACCCCCATGTAAAGTTGTGCACCTTGCTATGGAATGGTAAAAAATGGCCGCCGTTTCCAAGGAAACAGCAAAAATGCGAAAAAAATCAAAGTGTTCCAAACTGGGAGAAACTCCACAGGAATGTTAACTGGCATGTGCTGATTTGCAGTTTGACTTTGGAATTTTCAAAAAAGCTGCCGTTACCATGGAAACAGCAAAAATGTCAAAATTTTCAAAATGCTTCAAATTTTATCAAACTTTACAAAATTGTTTATTGACATGTGTAGATGCACTCTTTGAGTTTAGAATTTTCACAATGGCTGCCGTTACTCTGGCAATGGGGGAAGGGTGCCATCCGTTATTGCTAGCAATTGCAAATCTAGTTATGTCACCCGATCGACAATGTCGGGTGACATATTGCTTTTCCTCCGTTTCTTTATTATTATTATTATTATTATTCCACCTTTTTTGTCCTAGAGTTTTCTCGTAGATTTGTGGACCAATCATAATGAATGGGTACCATAATGGGGACCACCAACTCTAGTTATGCAGGACACCTTTGGATTTTTTTAAATGGCCACCGTTTCCATGGAAACCGCAACAATGTGAAAAAATTTCAAAAAGCCAATTCTTTTATTATTAGACCAAACCCAATGAAACTTTATGGAAATGTTGCCTGGTATGTGTGGAAGCACCGACTATATTTAGAAATTCCAAAATGGCTGCCATTGCCATGGAAACTGGGCAAAAGTTTAACATTGACCCTATGGGAAAACATATTAAAGGAGCATTTTCTTAAAGAATATAAGATTAAACCAAATGAATATGCAATTATATGTAACATGTCATCAGTCAGTGTGGCATATTCTTTGGAATTTTGGAATTAATCAATGTTACCATGGAAACAGCAAAAATTTCAAAAATGCTCCAAATTTAATGAAACTTAATATAAATGTTAACTGGCAAGTATAGATGAGACCTTCTACTTTGGAATTTCAAAAATGGCCGCCGTTGCCATGGAAACATCAAAAATGTGGAAAATTTCAAAAAGCTCTTAATGTTCTGATAATTTGCAGAAAGGTGTATAGCAATGCATATATGTGCATCCACTGTTTAAAATTTTCGAAACGGCTGCCGCTTAGTGGCAATGGGGAAAGGGTGACATCCGCTATTGCTTGCAATAGCAATTCTAGTTATGTCACCCGATCGACAATGTCGGGTGACATATTGCTTTTCCTCTGTTTCTTTTTCCCTATTATTATTATTTTTCTTCCACCTAATTTTGTCCAGCAGTTTTCTCGGAGGCAATGGAACCAATCTTCATGATTGTTGAGCATAATGAGGACCACCATCAGTGGAGTTGCAGTGAAACTTTGGAACTTTAAAATGGCCGCCCTTTCCATGGAAACAGCAAAAATGTGAAAAATATTTTTTTTGTTTTGATGACTAATTTGAGAATGCCTGAACTAAAAATCATCAAATTTTTATACAACATAGGTATCCACTATATAAAGGTTTTGGATGATTTTAAGAATCATCGGAACTACTGTATTGCCATGGAACTGGGGAAAGGTTTTCCATTATAACTCTATGGGAAAAACCTTAAAGTAGCATTTTCTCTCTTAAAATGGTAGGTCAAATCCATTGAAACTTTGATGGTATGTTCCCTCCCATGTACCAATGTGGCATCTGTCATTACAATTTTGGGAATGGTCTCTGTTACCATGGAAACCAGCAAAAATGTCAAAAAATTTCAAAATGCACCAAACTTAATATAACTTTATATTAATACTAACTGGCATGTATAGATAAGACTTTTGACTTTGGAATTTCCAAAATGGTCGCCGTTGCCATGGAAACAGCAAAAATGTGAAAATTTCAAAATGCTCCAAATGTTCTGAAAATTTACAGAAAGATGTATTGCCATGCATATATGTGCATTCACTGTTTAAATTTTTTTAAATGGCTTCCACTTAGTGGCAATGGGGGGAAGGGTGACATCCACCATTGCTTGCAATGGCAAATCTAGTTATTATTATTTTTCTTCCACCTAATTTTGTCCGCCCGTTTTCTCAGAGCTAAAGGAACCAATCTAAATGATGGTTCACTATAACAAGGAACCCTGACTTCCAAGTTGCAGTGCAACTTTGGAACTAAAAAATGGCTGCCATCACCATGGAAACTGAAAAAGGTGAAAAAATAAAATTTTTGAGTTTGGTTAATAATTTGAGAATGCTTAAACTTAAAATCATTAAATTTTAATACAATGTAGTTGTCCACTATATACAGGTTTTGGCTGATTTTGACAATCATTGGAACTACTATGTTGCCATGGAAACTACACCAAAAATTTCAAAAATATCAAAATGCTCCAAATTTTATGAAACTTCACAGTAACGATGAGCAACATTTGTAGATGTTGAATTT